TCTGTTGTCAAGAGTTATGTCCCAGTTACTGAACCTGTTGTCAGAGTTATGTCCCAGTCAGAGACTCTGTTGTCAAGCGTTATGTCCCAGTCAGAGAACCTGTTGTCAGAGTTATGTCCCAGTCAGAGACCCTGTTGTCAAGAGTTATGTCGCAGTCAGAGACCCTGTTGTCAAGAGTTATGTCCCAGTCAGAGAACCTGTTGTCAGAGTTATGTCCCAGTCAGAGAACCTGTTGTCAGAGTTATGTCCCAGTCAGAGACTCTGTTGTCAAGAGTTATGTCCCAGTTACTGAACCTGTTGTCAGAGTTATGTCCCAGTCAGAGACCCTGTTGTCAAGAGTTAGTTACTGAACCTGTTGTCAAGAGTTAGTTACTGAACCTGTTGTCAAGAGTCAGTTACTGAACCTGTTGTCAGAGTTATGTCCCAGTCAGAGACTCTGTTGTCAAGCGTTATGTCCCAGTCAGAGAACCTGTTGTCAGAGTTATGTCCCAGTCAGAGAACCTGTTGTCAAGCGTTATGTCCCAGTCAGAGAACCTGTTGTCAGAGTTATGTCCCAGTCAGAGAACCTGTTGTCAGAGTTATGTCCCAGTCAGAGAACCTGTTGTCAGAGTTATGTCCCAGTCAGAGACTCTGTTGTCAAGAGTTATGTCCCAGTTACTGAACCTGTTGTCAGAGTTATGTCCCAGTCAGAGACCCTGTTGTCAAGAGTTATGTCCCAGTCAGAGAACCTGTTGTCAGAGTTATGTCCCAGTCAGAGAACCTGTTGTCAAGAGTTATGTCCCAGTCAGAGACCCTGTTGTCAAGAGTTATGTCCCAGTCAGAGACCCTGTTGTCAGAGTTATGTCCCAGTCAGAGACCCTGTTGTCAGAGTTATGTCCCAGTCAGAGACCCTGTTGTCAAGAGTTATGTCGCAGTCAGAGAACCTGTTGTCAAGAGTTATGTCGCAGTCAGAGACCCTGTTGTCAAGAGTTATGTCCCAGTTACTGAACCTGTTGTCAAGAGTTATGTCCCAGTCAGAGAACCTGTTGTCAAGAGTTATGTCGCAGTCAGAGAACCTGTTGTCAAGAGTTATGTCGCAGTCAGAAAACCTGTTGTCAAGAGTTATGTCCCAGTCAGAGAGCCTGTTGTCAAGAGTTATGTCCCAGTCAGAGAACCTGTTGTCAGAGTTATGTCCCAGTCAGAGACCCTGTTGTCAAGAGTTATGTCGCAGTCAGAGAACCTGTTGTCAAGAGTTATGTCGCAGTCAGAAAACCTGTTGTCAAGAGTTATGTCCTAGTCACAGGACTTATTAGAGTTATGGCCCCAAAAGCCCTTTGGACTGCTTTTCATCAATTCCCTAAACTCCCTGTGGTGGTTTCAGTCCCCATTTTAGGGAAAACAAGAACAGACACACTGCCTCCCCAACAAGCATGTCATAGGAGTCGATTAACTGGGAGCTGTCTTCAAAGTGGGAGTGCATCTGCCTGTGAGGTAAGGAACAAACTTTCTGCATATAAACAAGTCACACCTGTAAAACGGATGTGCACACAACATTCAGGTTCTGGAACAAGACTGAAGTCCAGAGGTAGACGAATGGCCATAACTTTCTGCCAGAGTTTACAGCCAGTGAACAGGGGGAAAAAAGAATTCCATAAACAATTAAATGCCATCTTCAAATAGTGCAACAAATTAGCTTATTTCTAGGCTAAATCTAACTAGAAAATCATTTTTCAGAGCCACAAAAAAAACAAAATATGATGAATGACTGACATAAATGTTTGATAATCTCAGGCATGAACATGTTCAAACTAATGTTGAGACCAAGAACAAAGAAAATAATTGGACCTGTGGGATAGACATATCTTCAAACTGGGCATGCTTGTGACCTGTTCAGTCATGACTGATCACAGTGAGATAAAGCTCTCCTCATGTTCACTCATGTCCGCTGGTCTCTGGTGGAGAGGATGTTCAACCAGACAAGACTCCCAGCAAGACATCTGATGTGCAATTGCTGCACACCTTTAACACAATATCTTATTACAGTCCTTGAGCTGCCTTGTGAACACACACACTGACATTGTCCCTACTAAACATTCCTTTAAATTGTAATATCACAGAGAATTCAACATAAAATAATGGTTTTTAGTGAGCAGCTCAATGAAAACTTCAGTCAGAAGTCAGTAAACTATGCCAGGGTTGTGATGATTGATTGATGAACTTATGATAATCCTGTCTTCAGATTTTTGTAGAACATCAGTTGTATCACAGCCTGCTCTTGATCTTTTACTAGGGTAAGTAAAAATGGGGATGAGATAATGTTGTGAAATGAGAGAAGTGTGAGAATGAGATAAGCTGGCAAGATAAGGGAAAGTACAGAGGATGAGATACATTGGCAAGATGAGGGTAAGTGGGGAAGATGAGATAAAGAGATAAGGTGGCAATATAAATGAAAGTGGGGTGGATGAAATAAGGTGGCAAAATTAGGGAAAGTGGTGAGTATGAGATATGTTGACAAGATGAGGGAAACCTAAGGATCAGTTAAGATGACAAGAGGAGAGAAACTTGAAGATGGCAAATTGAGGGGAAAGTGAGGATCAATTAAGGTTGCAAGCTGATGTAAAGTAAGTGGTGAGGGTGAGATAAGTTAAGAAGATGAGGGAAAGTAATGAGGATGAGAAAAGGTGGCAAGATGGGAGGGGGGGGGAAGTGGGGAGGATGAGATAAGGTGGTAAGATAAGGGACAGTGGTGAGGATGAGATAAGTTGGCAAGATAAGAAAAAGTGGGGAGGATGAGATAAGTTGGCAAGATGAGGAAAACTGGGGAGGAAGAGATAAGGTGGCAAAATGAGTGAAAGTGGGGAGGATGAGATAAGATGGCAAAATGAGTGAAAGTGGGGAGGAAGAGATAAGGTGGCAAAATGAGTGAAAGTGGGGAGGATGAGATAAGGTGGCAAAATGAGAGAAAGTGGGGAGGAAGAGATAAGGTAGCAAAATGAGTGAAAGTGGGGAGGATGAGATAAGGTGACAAGATAAGGGAAAGTGGTGAGGATGAGATAAGGGGGTAAGATAAGGGAAAGTGGTGAGGATGAGATAAGGGGGTAAGATGAGGGAAATGTGAGGATCAGTAAAGATAGCAAGATGAGGGAAATGTGAGGATCAGTAAAGATAGCAAGATGAGGAAAATGTGAGGATCAGTAAAGATAGCAAGATGAGGGAAATTTGAGGATCAGTAAAGATAGCAAGATGAGGGAAATGTGAGGATCAGTAAAGATAGCAAGATGAGGGAAATGTGAGGATCAGTAAAGATAGCAAGATGAGGGAAATGTGAGGATCAGTAAAGATAGCAAGATGAGGGAAATGTGAGGATCAGTAAAGATAGCAAGATGAGGGAAATGTGAGGATCAGTAAAGATAGCAAGATGAGGGAAATGTGAGGATCAGTAAAGATAGCAAGATGAGGGAAATGTGAGGATCAGTAAAGATAGCAAGATGAGGGAAATGTGAGGATCAGTAAAGATAGCAAGATGAGGGAAATGTGAGGATCAGTAAAGATAGCAAGATGAGGGAAACTAGAAGTTAAGATGAGACGATGAGGGAAATGTGAGGATCAGTAAAGATAGCAAGATGAGGGAAACGTGAAGTTAAGATGGGACGATGAGGGAAATGTGAGGATCAGTAAAGATAGCAAGATGAGGGAAATGTGAGGATCAGTAAAGATAGCAAGATGAGGGAAATGTGAGGATCAGTAAAGATAGCAAGATGAGGGAAATGTGAGGATCAGTAAAGATAGCAAGATGAGGGAAACGTGAAGTTAAGATGAGACGATGAGGGAAATGTGAGGATCAGTAAAGATAGCAAGATGAGGGAAACGTGAAGTTAAGATGGGACGATGAGGGAAATGTGAGGATCAGTAAAGATAGCAAGATGAGGGAAACGTGAAGTTAAGATGAGACAATGAGGGAAATGTGAGGATCAGTAAAGATAGCAAGATGAGGGAAACGTGAAGTTAAGATGAGACGATGAGGGAAATGTGAGGATTAGTTAAGATAGCAAGATGAGGGAAACGTGAAGTTAAGATGAGACGATGAGGGAAATGTGAGAATCAGTTAAGATAGCAAGATGAGGGAAACGTGAAGTTAAGATGGGACGATGAGGGAAATGTGAGGATCAGTAAAGATAGCAAGATGAGGGAAAGTGGTGAGGATTAGATAAAGGGGCAAGATGAGGGAAACGTGGGAATCAGTGAAGATGGGAAGATGAGGGAAACGTGAAGTTAAGATGAGAAGATGAGAGAAACATGTGGATCATTTAAGATGGCAAACTGATGAAAAGTGGTGAGGATGAGATAAGGTGGCAAGGTGAGGAAAGTGAAGAGAATGAGATAAAGTGGCAACAATAGAGAAAGTGGGAAGGATGAGAATAGGGGGCAAGATGAAGGAAAGTGATGAGGATGAGTTTAGGTGGCAAGACGAGGGAAAGTGGTGAGGATGAGATAAGATGACACAATGAAGAAAAGTGGTAAGGACAAGATGGGTGAGAGGATGAGGGAAAAAGGCGAGATGACCAGATGTGGGAATATGGCAAGGTGACTCGATAAGGGAATTTAGCAAGGTGACATGATCAGGGAATATGGTGAGGTGACTAGAAAAGGGAATATGGTGAGGTGACTAGAAAAGGGAATATGGTGAGGTGACAAGATGAGGGAATGTGGGGAGATAATTAGATGAGAAAAACAGTGAGGTGACTAGATGAGGCAATATGGTGAGGTGACAAGAATAGGAATTTTTATGAGAGAAGTGAAACTGTTACTTGATCAGTTATGATTAAAAGGTTTACAGACTTAATGAATGTTTATAACAACAATTTATATAACAAATTTTTGCCAGACTTTAACAGGTGTGTGTGGTCTGGTTCTCAACAGTGAAAAAAGTGTGTTCTTCTTGAAGTATGTGTGATGATCTGCAGGTGACAAGTGTTGAAGGCTTGAGGTGAAACTGTGCAGGACAATTCTCATCCATGGAATTAGTGGCTTAGAATCTGCTTGTAAGCCAGCTGAGCTAGTTCCTTGGTAAACTCTGTCAGAGCTGATACATGGTAGAAGAACTCATTGTCGTTGCCTTCATCTGCCCAAATAAATATGAGGAAGCATTAATAATTATTTCATGAGACATAACAAGAAAGATTAGAAGCTTCTAAGAGTGAATCTGGTAAGTGTGTTCCTGATTATTCCTTTTTAAAGCAATCCAGTTCATCCAATCATTAATCTGGTTCCATCACTGTTTATGAGGAAAGGGATTCCCACAAGATGAGGATTTGTAGCTGCAGGAGCTAACATCAGTGTCTCAGGAGAAGGATTCCCACATAATGAGGATTTATAGCTGCAGGAGCTGACATCGATGTCTCAAGGAGAAGGATTCCCATATGATGAGGATTTCTAGCTGTAGGAGCTGACACTGGTGTCTCAAGGATAGAGATTCCCATATGATGAGGATTTCTAGCTGCAGGAGCTGACACTGGTGTCTCAAGGAGAAGGATTCCCACATGATGAGGATTTCTAGCTGCAGGAGCTGACATTGGTGTCTCAAGGAGAAGGATTCCCACATGGTGAGGATTTCTAGCTGCAAAAGCTGACATTGGTGTCTCAAGGAGTGGGGTTACCACATGATGAGGATTTCTAGCTGCAGGAGCTGACATTGGTGTCTCAAGGAGAAGGATTCCCACATGGTGAGGATTTCTAGCTGCAAAAGCTGACATTGGTGTCTCAAGGAGTGGGGTTACCACATGATGAGGATTTCTAGCTGCAAAAGCTGACATTGGTGTCTCAAGGAGAAGGATTTCCACATGATGAGGATTTCTAGCTACAGAAGCTGACATTGGTGTCTCAAGAAGAGGGATTCCCATATAATGGTTAATAGTTGTCACAGCTGACATCCATTTTACATGGAGTGGGATTTCCATGTGATTGGAATTTCTAAAAATCAAAGCTGACAACACACTCCTGAAGTCTGGAGTCTTCAGCCTGGGCGAATACATCGCCACTAGACACTAGCAGGGCTATCATGATCAGCATACAGCAGCCATACCAAACAAGGAACACACTTAAAGAGGAGATGAGAAGATACAGCAGCTAAATCACACAAGGCATTCACTTAGAGAGGAGAATAAAACAGCTAAAGCATACAAGGCCTTTACTATGAGAGCAGAATAGAAGATACAGCAGCTATAAGCATACAAGGCATTCACTAGAAGTGTAAAAGAGAAAAATAAAGCAGCCATATCATACAAGGCTTTCACTAAGAGAGTCGAAGCGAAGATACAGCAGCTATATCACACAAGGCACACACTAAAAGAGGAGAGGAAAAGATACAGCAGCTCCTTGTAGAATATTTGTCTCTAAATTGTTTCAGTTCATCCCCCCCCCCCAACCCCAAGACTCCAAGACTCCCCTTGATGAATATATTGCAAGACCTTGAGTATTTGGCAATACCCTCTCCCCCCCAGGTTAGGAACCACTGTTGTAGAACACTGGTACTATGGCCCCTTGAGTATTTGGCAATACCCCCCCCCCCCCCCCTTTTCCCCCTTTCCCCCAACATAACAAAATGTGATTAAAAAGAGAACACTAGATTCCGCAACAAGCAAAAGACAGTGTGAAGATACATTTTGGTCAGAATTTGCTCCTAATCTTTAAATGCCTGTATTAGCATATTAATTAGACTTTTAACTGTAGATATACAAACTACGGTCGGCTCTATGGCTAAGTTGATGTGAACGTTTCGTAATGAGGGGATGCCGGGTTCGATCCCAGCTGCAGGCCATGCGCCTTGCTTTGGTTTCGACAGTGGTATCAAGAAAGCCGACCGTCTAGAAAGCAATGGCAAACTACTGGACGTAAATTTGCCTAGAAAAACCACACAACAGCCAGGGGCTGTTGGGGTTGGTTCTGCAACGTCCTGTAAAGGATACGCAACTAACCTATACAAACTGCTTATGGAAACATAAAAGGCCTTTGGCTTTTTTGTTTTATAAAAAGTGTTAAAATATTTTGTTACTTTATTTATAATTAAACAAGAAAAATAATATAACGAATTATTACTAATTAGGGCTGTACCGAATAGTGATTTTCACTATAAGAATAGCTGGACCAACTATTCGGCCGAATACAAATATGAATACGGATAGTGAATCATCATCATCAGGTGATCTGCGATCTCCTGCAAGATGTATTTGTTCGTGTACAGACACACCTCCATGCCATGCAACAAGACTGTCAAGAATCTTATCTTGTTGTCTTCCTCTATCCCTCCTTCCACATATCTTTCCAGTGGTTACCACATGTTCCATATTCCCTCATCTTATATATAACATGGCCAAAAAATGATAACTGTCTCCTTCTGATATTTATGAGTAGTTGTCTTTGGGCTCCCGCCTCTATTAAAACCTTTTGGTTGCTTTTTTTTTTTTTGGGGCTGTCCAATGTATTTTAAGCATTGTTCTGTAAAACCACATCTCTAAGGCCTCAAGAAACTGTTTGGCCTGCCTACCGATTGTCCAGGACTTACAGCCATATGTTAAAACTGGATGTATGTAGCAAGCAAGAATTCTTTTTTTAACCTTCAATGACAAAGATATATTGCATAAGATGTTCTTTATTTTATAGAATGCAGTTTTTGCCTGTCCTATTCTGTTTCTTATTTCAGTAATGCATCTTCCATCTGATGTTATCCATGTGCCCAAATATATAAATTTCTGTACGTTGTCCCAAAATAAAACCATTGACTTTTAAAACACATTTAGGAATAATTATTTTCTTTGATACCACCATTACTTCTGTCTTTCCACTATTTAAACTGAGGTTACATTCTTTCACTTTCGAATAGTGTATATAGTGTATAAAATAGATCTAAAAAAAAAAACATTCATAATTTCAAATGTACGCTGAAATTTTACTTCACAAAATTTAGTACAGAATAGTAAACATTTTTAAAAACATTTCTGTCTTTCCCACTATTCAAACTGATGCCAATTCTTCCACTTTCGTGTATAAAATAGATCTAAAAAAAACATCCATAATGTCAAATGTACGCTGAAATTTTACTTCATAAAATGTAGTACAGAATAGTAAACATTTAAAAACATTTCATGTTTTGCATCCTTCAGTCAGTCAGTCTATGGTAACTAATACCTAGGAATGAAAGTATTCTTAGTTTTATAACAAGTAAATTATCACTGACAGCTTAGTTAATCCATGAAAGCGGCATTAGCTTTCCAAAAAACAAACAAAATCGTTCCATGTTGTCAGCATTAAGGCAGCTTCTTGTCTCACTGAAGGTATTTCCAGCTGTACTAAACTAAACAGATGTTCACTTGGTACGCTCGTAGGTGGTGCACAAAGATAACGCTTGTCAGTATGAACCAAGGTGGGGAATCTTGATATGTTTATTTTCCACCAGTCCAGAAACGGGTGTAAGGTAACGACTATTCGAATTTGGCCTGACCGCAACTATTCGGCCGAATACCGAATAGTTATAAGGTCCACTATTCGGTCCCGAAGCGAATACGAAGCGAATATTTGGTACAGCCCTATTACCAATACATATACACAGCACCCTCACCTCCCAGGAGTCTATTGTTGTAGAACACTGCTACTATGACCTCCATGGACAGCCTGTCTATCCCTGACCTATTACTGGTCTCATGTCCCTTCATTACAACATGTATTCAACAATCTCTTTACACCAAAAAATTTTAAGTTATCTGCTCATCTTTTACAGGGTACTGCAGAACCAACAACAGCATTTTTTGTGTGTGGCTGTTATGGTTTTTCTATGCATATTTACCTTCTGTACTTCTTTACACGGAGCCGGACTTTTTTCAAAAATGACCTTGGCTCCCAGGTCGACCCAGCCTTGAGTGGGTATCTGATCAGTCCCAGGAAGTAAAGGTGGCTGGCGTGATGCTGACCACATCACCCATCTTGTACCAATTTTTCTATAAAATATAGGTCTAGCCCTATATGCCCTATACGCCTAAAGGCGTGGAAAAGGGTCCTTTACTTTACTTACTTTACTTCTTTACAACAGGTTGTGATAAAAGAACCCATTCTGACACTGGGAGACTGTGCTCAGACCTAGAATACCGACTGACGTAAGTTAAAGGAACTGTGAAATATTAGACTTTCACACATACTAGAGGTCAGATGGCTTGAACAGAGATGGGATTACTCTCATGACATTCTGGCTGCCTTTACTTTGCATAACATTTACTGATAGCCATTTAGGCTTAGTCAACACTGTGGCCCAGCTCAAATGTTCCAAATGCACAGAGATTAGAATAAGTACTAGCATTGCTAGTCAATGTGCTGTCATGTCTGCCCATGAAGAGTTTGTCAACAAATCAATCGGTCTTTGTGTTTCATCTCTGACCTGTATTATCACAGGAGGTCTTATCGCTCCAAATCTCATCAATAAAATGCTCCAATGTTGCTTTTTTTTGGCCTCTGCTGCACAGCGCTTAAAAAACTCTTATCTTATCTTTCTTATCTCTTTCCACACACTCCAACTCCTCCTGTGAGCTTAGGGCTGTCTGTCACACTTTCTTTAAATGCTTTACTGCTGCTCTCTTTAAATTCCATGCCTGTTCAACCTCTCATGTCCACCATAGAGGCTGCATAAAAGTAGATCTGTCGGCCCTCTTACATGCCCTCTGTTGAAGGAGTCCAAGAAGGGAGTTAGTCCGCTCATACTTGAAAGGCCTATGAGCTCTTGAAGCCTTGACTTTCTTGGATTTGGAAATCAATACCGAACATGGCTGTTGGTCACTTCCATGATCGCTCAGGACAGTCCACTTGGTGTCCAGTACTGCTGACTGGGTAACCAGAACCAGGTCAATAGCCGTGTCTGCATCACCAGGCCTCATTGCCATTCTAGTTAGCGTCCCATCATTTAAACAGACAAGGTCTGAATCAACCATGGCGTACACAGGCTAACACACTTGAATGCTTGCCTAGTTGTCCTGTGTTTGCATCTCTTTTCAGATAGAGCTTTCTTTCCCGTCATAAAAAGAGTCCCAGACTAATTTTTTTAGAAGAAACTGGGGCTAGTGTGAAATGAAACCGACCACATCATTGGGCTCACTGACCTAAACAATATAAGACAAATATCCTACACCCAATATGTCTCACAACCAGAAAACAGGATCTACTGTTTACCGGGCAGACTTCCTTGTATACAATTATGCTAATAGCAGTCTTGACTGAATTCACCCTGAATATGTAACAATGCATACCTACAGTCTGAGTTATGGAGAATGGCTCATACATCAATCAATATAAATGTGTACAATTTGCAAGCTTATCTGTTCACATTCAAAGACACAAAGACTGTGGTTAAAGGTTAGTAAGCTCATTTCACAATTATCCACAAGATTTGACTTTCAGGCTGGGTGGTTTAGAAAAAGACTATTCTTGTAGCTTGCAGACAGTGGTAAGAGAGTAGCACCATGAAGGAGGCTGCAGCCTCACTAGGTCATATTCTCACAAATAACAGCCAAATTTTTAATTGCTCCATTCCTGTGCTAGTGAAAAACCACACACAATACCCATTGCTGTCTCATACGAACAGTGAAAGAGACAGCCATGCCAGCATAATCCTAAGTTTGCACATGCATCAAATACACAAGGTAGCTGCTAAAGATGCCAACATCTACAATCTGTCACTAACATAGCTGAGAAAATAGGAGTCACCAAGAACAGCAAGTTCACCCATATGATTACATAAGGTGCACCACCAATTCTTTGGGTAAGAGAGTCTAAAAAATCTGCAAAGCTGAAAAAGGTGGACAGCGAACAATAATATTAGTAACAGCAACTCCATGAAATTATCAAACAACAGAGAGGCCTTCACATAAATTATTGTCAATGCCTGTTTTAGACCGGGCAGCAAAAGAAGGCACATCAGACAGAAATGTTGACAACTGTTTACCTGCATCTGTAAACTCATGTGTGTCCAGGATCAGCTCTCTGAAAGTGTCTAAGACTCTGTTGAGGAATGTCAGACGGGCCCTTGGTGTATCTATGACACCCAGTATACAATCCAGCATTGCCATCACCTGAGTGAGACTGTAGTTATGTTTAACACACACCTGAGAACATAACACAAGTGGCAGGTAAAAAAAAAGGGGGCCTCGTCAATACTTGAGTAAACAATAAGCAGTCCTACACTGATAACAATAAACATCTAATCAATGTGATTAGCAAATTCTGGTTTAGTTTGCTGGTTGTAAAGTATGGCTGTCACTGCAGACTTGGAGAACTAATGAAGTGTTTGACGTCCTGATTGTCCATACATACAGTCTTACAGTCTGGTATGGATAAAGTATGACTGTCACTGCAGACTTGGAGAACTAATGAAGTGTTTGACGTCCTGATTGTCCATACTCACAGTCCTTACAGTCTGGTATAGATAAAGTATGGCTGTCACTGCATACTTGGAGAACTAATGAAGTGTTTGACGTCCTGATTGTCCATACATACAGTCCTTACAGTCTGGTATGGATAAAGTATGGCTGTCACTGCAGACTTGGAGAACTAATGAAGTGTTTGACGTCCTGATTGTCCATACTTACAGTCCTTACAGTCTGGTATAGATAAAGTATGGCTGTCACTGCATACTTGGAGAACTAATGAAGTGTTTGACACAAGTCGGGGTCAGCAGTAGTTCACTGGCCCTGATACAAGTCGGGGTCCTGAGTAGTAGTCCTTACAGTCTGATGATGCATAAAGTATGGCTGTCACTGCAGTAGAACTTCACTGGCCCTGATGGAAGTCGCGGTCAGCAGTAGTTCACTGGCCCTGATGTAAGTCTTGGTCAGCATAGGTTCACTGGCCCTGATGTAAGTCTGGGTCAGCATAGGTTCACTGGCCCTGATACAAGTCGGAGTCAGAAGTAGTTCACTGGCCCTGATACAAGTTGGGGTCAGCAGTAGTTCACTGGCCCTGATGCAAGTCTGGGTCAGCAATAGTTCACTGGCCCTGATGCAAGTCTGGGTCAGCAGTAGTTTACTGGCCCTGATGTAAGTCTGGGTCAGCATAGGTTCACTGGCTCTGATACAAGTCGGGGTCAGCAGTAGTTCACTGGCCCTGATACAAGTCTGGGTCAGCAGTAGTTTACTGGCCCTGATGCAAGTCTGGGTCAGCAGTAGTTTACTGGCCCTGATGCAAGTCTGGGTCAGCGGTAGTTCACTGGCCTTGATGCAAGTCTGGGTCAGCAGTAGTTCACTGGCACTGATGTAAGTCTGGGTCAGCAGTAGTTCACTGGCACTGATGTAAGTCTGGGTCAGCAGTAGTTCACTGGCCTGATGTAAGTCTGGGTCAGCAGTAGTTCACTGGCACTGATACAAGTCGGGGTCAGCAGTAGTTTACTGGCCCTGATACAAGTCGGGGTCAGCAGTAGTTCACTGGCCCTGATGCAAGTCTGGGTCAGCAGTAGTTTACTGGCCCTGATGCAAGTCTGGGTCAGCAGTAGTTCACTGGCCCTGATGTAAGTCTGGGTCAGCAGTAGTTCACTGGCCCTGATGTAAGTCTGGGTCAGCAGTAGTTCAATGGCACTGATGTAAGTCTGGGTCAGCATTAGTTCACTGGCCCTGATGGAAGTCGCGGTCAGCACTGGCACTGATGTAAGTCTGGGTCAGCAGTAGTTTACTGGCCCTGATGCAAGTCTGGGTCAGCAGTAGTTCACTGGCACTGATGTAAGTCTGGGTCAGTAGTAGTTCACTGGCACTGATGTAAGTCTGGGTCAGCAGTAGTTCACTGGCACTGATGTAAGTCTGGGTCAGCAGTAGTTCACTGGCACTGATGTAAGTCTGGGTCAGCAATAGTTCACTGGCACTGATGCAAGTCTGGGTCAGCAGTAGTTCACTGGCCCTGATGTAAGTCTGGGTCAGCAGTAGTTTACTGGCACTGATGTAAGTCTGGGTCAGCAGTAGTTCACTGGCACTGATGCAAGTCTGGGTCAGCAGTAGTTTACTGGCCCTGATGTAAGTCTGGGTCAGCAGTAGTTTACTGGCCCTGATGTAAGTCTGGGTCAGCAGTAGTTCACTGGCACTGATGTAAGTCTGGGTCAGCAGTAGTTCACTGGCACTGATGCAAGTCTGGGTCAGCAGTAGTTTACTGGCCCTGATGCAAGTCTGGGTCAGCAGTAGTTCACTGGCACTGATGTAAGTCTGGGTCAGCAGTAGTTCACTGGCACTGATGTAAGTCTGGGTCAGCAGTAGTTCACTGGCCCTGATGTAAGTCTGGGTCAGCAGTAGTTCACTGGCACTGATACAAGTCGGGGTCAGCAGTAGTTTACTGGCCCTGATACAAGTCGGGGTCAGCAGTAGTTCACTGGCCCTGATGCAAGTCTGGGTCAGCAGTAGTTCACTGGCACTGATACAAGTCTGGGTCAGCAGTAGTTCACTGGCCCTGATGTAAGTCTGGGTCAGCAGTAGTTCACTGGCCCTGATGTAAGTCTGGGTCAGCAGTAGTTCACTGGCCCTGATGTAAGTCTGGGTCAGCATAGGTTCACTGGCCCTGATACAAGTCGGGGTCAGCAGTAGTTCACTGGCCCTGAGGTAAGTCTGGGTGAGCCCTGAGGCCAAACAGTCAAACTATGCCTTACCTTAGCCCTATTCCAACTTTGGTCTTTACTGGGCAGATTAATATCACTGTAAAGCCTAAGTTGTTTTTTTTTTTACAAAAAGTGATAGCTGAATATTTCACCAGGGCTCATCTGGCTTCACTAAAATGACATGTAACTTACCAAAATAACATGTTGCCCCACCATTTACTCCCCCCCCCCCCCCCTCCCTCGGACACACACACATAAAACGGCCACTTTTGCCTGTATTTACCACTACTGTGGCGTGGGCAGGGCAGGGAGGGGTGTGGGGATTGATACTGCATAATTAGGGCTTATGGATAATGCAGTCACCACAAACTGTAAGCCTTGGATCATATTTTTCCACCTCGAGATGTAAAATCTCCAACCTTTCAGATGATTCAAACCCTGGTCTTTCAACAAATCACCCGTAATAACCAACTTACCAAACATAATGATGCAATAATGCTGGCCAGCTCTAAGAATCTGCCATTGATAGCTTTGCTGACAAGCATCTTTGTGGCAATGCATTCTCCACAAGCTAGTAATAATCCTGCAACATTTTCAATCAACCAGTCCTCAGGAGTACCTGAATGTGACAATGTATTGAAGCGGTAATAGCATTCATCTGCACAGGAGTTCAATGTGACACAGTTATATTTCCATGCTTCCCAAATATAAACATGTCTAGATGGAACAGGTGGTTCAGATAGTCTTAGTATGTCTCTTGAATGTGTTTAACAACAACACAGCCAGTGATTCAACAAATCAGCTGAAATTAAGTCTATTATAAAGCACATTGTCCAGTGAGTATGACGACAATTCATTATCAATAACAATGGACAGTTCAAGTTATTGTTGCTGTGTATTTACATACTATGATAAGCTCATTTAACACAATGATGCTTCCTATACTTCAATATAAGTTGCTAGGACGTTATTTCATTACGAGCAGGTTATTCACTCTTCTTGACTGTAGAAATATCTCTTCTAGCGAAACTTAACCAAATTTACTACCGGCCAGTCAACTCTCTATTCTATAGTGCAAGTTCTTGTTGACCGCCCAGCTTCATGGTCCTTGCCTAACTGTCAACGCTACTAGGCAACAACACCTCAGACATCACTTCTCGAGAGCTGACTCTCCTTCCCCTCTTTCTCTTTTTTCCAGCCCTCTTTTATCCTTTGTTCTTTTCCCCTGGCCCATTTGTCATTTCTGTCACCTGTCATCTGTCGATTCTCTGCTACCTTTCTAACCTCTCATCAGTTTTCTTGCTTGGCGACCTGAACTGACTGCCTTGAGTACCCTTGACATGTGTTATCCTCCTGATGTATGGTTATGGTTGCCCTTCTGAAAGCTTGTCTATCTCTCACGTTGGCTACTTGCAACACCTGCTCTTAGAACTCTGGTTGTCATGCTTATAGCAATCCATCTTTCTATACTTGACAGTCAGGATCTCCCTGCATATCCCAGGGTGGCCTGACATATCCTATCTCACGTTTCCATGTCAGAGTGTCTTTAGTTTATTAGCCCTTATGTGGTACCTGTTAATCTCTGACCGCTCCCCTGTGTTACAACATGCTGCACTATGTTTGTTGACAGGGAAGCTGGGGCATTTAAAGCATATGGTATGTACGTCTAACTTTAAGTAAGCAGTATAGGACAGAACAGTCTCATGTTTTAACACATACTATAATACTCTCATGGGGATAACAATGGCTGCCTAGGAGATTTTGTGGCTGGGTTTTGACATGTTGCATCCTTGCCTATTCTAGACCATGGTATAATGAGGTGCAGCAGCCGGTTCCCTGCCTTGCCACCTTTCCTTGCCAGGTTACGGTAACATTCAAACAATTAACTGGTTCCAGTCGGGGTCATCTTTAGGACTAGAATCTGTTGACAGTGAAAAAGCTACACCCTATAGAAGAAACATGTCAAACTGACATCAGCTTTCTCCTTGTATTGATTTTCTGTCTAGCATGAATATCTGGGCTGAAACACACATTCATAAAGATATAGATGACACAATGAAGACTGGGCCCTCCTAGCATCAGTATCACTGGCTGCAACACACATTCATAGAGACACAGATGACATACTGAAGACGGGGCCTCCTAGCTACAGTATCACTGGCTGAAACACACATTCATAGAGACACAGATGACATACTAAAGACTGGGCCTCATAGCTTCAGTATCACTGGCTGAAACACACATTCATAGAGACACAGATGACATACTAAAGACTGGGCCTCCTAGCTACAGTATCACTGGCTGAAACACACATTCATAGAGACACAGATGACATACTAAAGACTGGGACCTCATAGCTTCAGTATCACTGGCTGAAACACACATTCATAGAGACACAGATGACACATTGAAGACTGGGCCTCCTAGCATCAGTATCACTGGCTGCAACACACATTCATAGAGACACAGATGACACACTGAGACTGGGCCTCATAGCTTCAGTATCACTGGCTGAAACACACATTCATAGAGACACAGATGACACACTGAGACTGGGCCTCATAGCTTCAGGATCACTGGCTGAAACACATATTCATAGAGATACAGATGACACATTGAAGACTGGGCCGCATAGTTCCAGTATCACTGGCTGAAACACATATTCATAGAGATACAGATGACACATTGGAGACTGGGCCTCATAGCTCCAGTATCACTGGCTGAAACACACATTCATAGTGACAAAGTTGACAAACTAAAGACTGGGCCTCCTAGCTTCAGTATCACTGGCTGCAACACACATTCATAGAGACACAGATGACACACTGAGACTGGGCCTCCTAGCTACAGTATCACTGGCTGCAACACACATTTATAGAGATTCAGATGTCCCAAACATCATGGCAGAGAATATCTTCTGCTCTAGCACTTGAATTCTGGGTTAATTATAATATTTTGAATGTCAGCTCATCTTCTCCTCCACGGCCAGACTGTTTCACTCCATCAGAGATGTAGCTCCTTTGTTGATAACTAACGTTGCATAATTCTTTCATATCGCCTGAGATGTAGCCTCTCTGTTGATAACTAATGTTGCTGCATTCTAAAAGTAGTGCCACAGTGGCACTAATTTAAGGAGTAAGTATAATAGTAACATCACAGTACCAGTACTAGGTGTCAGTTGATGAAGTAAATATAACCGCAGTACCAAAAAAAGAATGACTGTAACAGTAGTACTACAGTGTCAGGGAGCATGAACTCTTTGAGTCCCAAGAAGCGCATCATACGTTCATAGGTTTCTATCTAGAAACCCAGTAAACACAAAATGCGCCAATTTTACGTCTCTCTTTACTACCTCTTGGGCCTGGGATGCTAAACCCTCTGGGATTCAAAGAGCTAATGAAGTGAATATAACCGTTGTACCACAGTTTCAGGCAGCAGTTAATGAAGTGAATATAACAGCAGTACCACAATAGGATGAATATAACAGTAACACTACAGGGTTAGGCCGCAGTTATTAGAGTGACTATAACAGTTAGTTAGCCGACAGATTATCCTCATGCACATCCCACCATTTAGTCCATTAGTGGTCAGATTCCCTTGTTAGTCAATCCTGCAGCATGTAGTGGCTCACGACACCAGTTCTGTGTTGGCTTCTTATTCTTCTTTAGCTTTCTGGGTTCTCCTGTCAACTACGGCCGGTAGACAACAGTAGACGGCCGGTTAGTTGGAGTTCTATCTCCTGGCTGCAGTGCAATTACGGAGTGGAAAGGAGGGAACGAAACAAATGACATAATTACTGTGTGTTGGCGATAGACAGCGTGCAAAGCCCTGCTATAATCATACGGTTACGGTTTGGGTTAGGCTTTGGGTTAGGGTTAGGGGTAGGGTGTGGGTTAGGTGTAGGGTTTAGGGTTAGAGTGTGGGTTAGGGTTACGGTTAGTGTCGCCGCATCTCGTCTTCGCACAAACTCATAGTAGCAACCCAAACCCTAACCCTAACCCTAAACCTAACCCAAACCCTACCCCTAACCCTAACCCAAACCCAAACCCTAACCCAAACCCTAACCGTATGATGACAGTAGGGCACTGCACGTTGCTTATCGCCAACACACAGTAATTATGTCACTTGTGTCGTTCCCTCTATTCCACTCCGTAATGCATCGCAAGAAGCGGTAATCAAACGTGGTCGCTAATTTGAGTCGCAGCGCGGGGTCTGCTAGGTATGTCGACCTCACTGTGTTTTTTTATTCGTGCCCTCTCCAGTCCGTAATTGTACTGCAGCCAGGAGACAGAACTCCAACTAACCGGCCGTAGTTGACAGGAGAGCCGCTTTCTGCATAGTGCTCTTGTCGTCTGGCCACACCCCTTCTAACATGTTATTTGTGCAGTCTGGTCATTGTTGCAGATTCACAGTCATCACTTTGTTCCTGCAAATGTCTTACTTCTGGTAGAGCATTTAGAATATCAGCATGGTCCATGGCTCGTCCACCGTCCACAGTAGCTTTAACCTGCATGCTTGCTCATTTTCATACACATTTGCGTGGCCTGGCACAAATATGAAACTCATATGTGTCAGCCCCGACCGCTTGAGATACTCAAGCCACTGTCCTCGGATCCAGTCCTTCTCTATCTTCCCCAGCATACTCATTGAGTCACTCAGTGAATATAGTGTCTGACACTAAGGGAGTAAATATAACAGTAATACCACAGTGTCAGACACTGATGGAGCTTAGTGCAGTTTCATGTTTAGCAATTTAGCTGATGTTCTGCCAACAGTCTTGTCTTGTTAAGTTGATCTGGAAATCACTGTAAGCTCAACATAAAAATGTGCATTATACTATGGTATTCCCCAACAACAAACAAGCAGAAACTACTGGAAAGAAAACATAAGCAGTCTAAAATGGTAATGATGATATGAACGCACCTGTCATCTCATCAATAATACAAAGGATTTCATCGCCTGACCACTCTGTACTGTGGAGGTGAAGAATCTGAAGAATATTGGAGACGCTTCCAAAAAATAAAGATGCATGCTCTTTGTCTGCAGGTGTTGTTTCACTCATCTCATGCCACTGGATGGCTCCAGCTGAAGGGGTCAGCACAAATATCACATTGACTTTTTCTGCTAATAATCTGTTACATTAATATACTCACACAAATATCCATTCAAATACATTACTAATTCTCCCAGATGTATGTCAAAGCCAGGGTGCATAACTACTGATCTCTTGGGCATTCACTTTCCACTCATTCCCACTCTAGTCATTGTGTGCATATCATCTCTCTCTCTCTCTTAATCTCTCTCCCCATCACTCTTTTTCACTCTTTCTTTCAATCTCTCTCAATATCTCTTTCTCTCTCTTCACCACCCATGCTTTTGTTTTTGACTTGATATTAATAATATTCATATTATTACATGAACATAACGTGCTTTATTGATGAGATACAACTGCTGGGTGAAAGATGGGAGTTTGGAAGCGCTGAGTGTAAGACAGACCTGCGTGCCTAATTTGTAACCCTTTGAAAATGAAGTTAGTTCGTTCGTTCATCTCTCCACCTCTGTGAAAAGGTACTGAGTCTTACAAGAGTGACACAGTGCAACACTTAACAAATCGAGCAGCTTTGCTTCCCTCAGCCTTCCCTTATAACTGCTGATAACAAAGGTTGAGGGTTTTTATGTCAGGCTCAAAATACAAGGTGAGAGAGACCCTAGTTAATGAGAATGATATATCAAACAGACTGACATGATATGTCAAAGAACTGTATGAGTATAAAAGATGAGTAAACTGACATTCATCAATACTGAAGACTCTTGTGACCTCATCACAAGCTGGGGGAGCAATAAACATGATGAACGAAAGACAAGTCCCTGGTAGTGTCCAATTTCAATAGAAACAATAGCCACTGTAGAGGGTCCCTGGTAGTGTCCAATTTCAATAGAAACAATAGCCACTGTAGAGGGTCCCTGGTAGTGTCCAATTTCAATTGAAACAATAGCCACTGTAGAGGGTCCTTGGTAGTGTCCGATTTCAATAGAAACAATAGCCACTGTAGATGGTCCCTGGTAGTGTCCAATTTCAACAGAAACAATAGCCACTGTAGAGGGTCCCTGGTAGTGTCCAATTTCAATAGAAACAATAGCCACTGTAGAGGGTCCCTGGTAGTGTCCAATTTCAATAGAAACAATAGCCACTGTAGAGGGTCCCTGGTAGTGTCCAATTTCAATAGAAACAATAGCCACTGTAGAGAATGTTGTAAATATCAACTGGGAGTTATCCAATGATATAAAGAAAAGTTGTGTTTACCACAAGATGTCACCACCTCAACAACCATAACAGTGGAGAAGTGAACAGTGACATTTTACAACCATTTAGTCTGACCAGCCAGGTGCAGATGATACTGCTCCACATCATGCATGAGAGGTAGAACTTCAAACATAATTTGGAATTCTCAGAAAAATTATCTGTGTTCAAACTGTCAACAATAAAAAGAAAAAAGTGAAACATGAGAAATAATTTTTTTTTTAGATAATTTTACATACACACATGCAAACACTCTCTCTAACACACACACACACACACATACATGCATGTACACACGTACACACATACACTGATACAACTTACATGAGAAATGACCGGCATAGAGAATATACAACAATCTGGCTTGGAACACAATAGGCCAAGGCTTCAATATTCTAGTGATCCAGAAAGCTTTATCTGGAGTAGTGATACAAGGATCTAGGAAAATCCGTCTATAGAAGTGTCGAACTGTGGCCTCTAGGTGACAGTGGGAACCTGGAAGGTAAAATGCATTTCCTGTATGTCTCAAATATATGTTAGTTTTAGGAAGCATCATTCAAGGCAAGGTGTCAGTTAAAACTCTAAGGACCAAAAAGGTTCGTGAATGCCATTTTTTTTTAAATGAGTATTTCCAGAAATATATCCTTTAAAAAACACACACGTTGTTCGTCCATCATGAGTGATGGAGACCACTATTCATGCAAAGTAGTAATGATTATGAGTACGAAGGTGGCTGAACCTGGAAATTCTTGAGCAGTGCGGATAACGGATGGTAAGTGTGGGATTAGCAGTACGATTCTTTCTAGTCTGCCTCCATTTCTCTGCCTGGATGGTAGAATGCATTTCTTGTATGTCTCAAATATGTGTTAGTTTTAGAATGCATCACACAAGGCAAGGGGTCAGTGAGAACTCCAAGGACCAAAAAGGGAGGCAAATGTATACATACTACTCCTCTTTTAACCCTTTTGGCCCGCAAATGCAATTTTTTTTTTTTAATTGATATTTTCAGAAATACATCCCTTAAAAAACACATATAAAAGGTTACTAATATTTATTTATTTCTTTCAATTCATTCACCTGGCCTATTAAACACTGGGTCGCTACCACACATAATTCAACTATGTACATATAGATATGAAGTGTATCGCATGACAGTGGTTTTGTGAAGCAGAAGTGACCCTCTATCATCTTGGGGCTAAAGGGTTCAATCATCTTTGAGGCATAAACAGATACAACTGACGTGGACACGTAAGTAAAGGTGTCTTGCTGCAACATGACTATGCATGTTTGTGCATGATTGTGTGTCACTCTTTCTGAATCAGTCTAGAACAAATATTTCTTTTCGGGATGGGGGGGGGGGGGGGAAATACCCTCTGTATTTCCTCGTTATGTGCAGTTCAAATCAGTGTTTTCCCATGGTGAACTAAAATGATGAGACACCATTTACTGTCTGACATATGTTGCTACATCCTGTGTACAGAAGTGACATCAACACATATTAAAGCACAATAAGGAATCTGTTTCACTGAAACACTAAATACAAATCACAAAGTCATTCTATCCTTACATGAGGCAACTGACTGAGGAAGTCAAAGATTAACCATGTGATTATCATGCTGTCGCATGCGGACAAGCACTAAAACACTCTGATACTGACTGAGCAAATAGGACGTCAAAACAATAGTACTATTGTTATGGAATGGGAACCTAGAGATTCAGAGAAAAAAGTTTGAAGGAGACGTGTGGTCGTGTCTCAATGGGTCCTTGAGGATGGTCTACCCCGGGATTTTACGAAGTAACCTCAGCCGATAGCTGGTACATTGATTGTTGCGCTCGGCAGGAAGCAGGAATATTTATAGCTAATGGATCTCTCAACTGAATCACCAAGGAGGGACATTGCCCTGTTATCTAGTATCCGACTGCATAAGAGGAGATCGATGTGACATTTAACGGATTATTTGCACATTTTTCTCATTTTGGATCAAAGTGTTTGTCAGTACACCATTTGTATACCCTATACATAGCCTTCAGCATTTAACTCCCGGTTGGGTGCATTGAAGTTCATTGTTAATGTATAGGCTTCCTGTTTCATAGTTGGATTTGATCTCTGACTGTTCTACCACACTTGGCTGGTGATATTGTAACATCTCTATATTGCACTCATTTTGGTACCTGACTGCACGTGGAAAAGGGACCTACGCCTCTCGGCATCGGGGGCACACGTTTCACCTGCTCAGGCACAACAAGTCAATTCTCTGTGTCAGGATAGTCAGCTCTATCACACACCCAACCGGATTCTTTTTTTGTTTTTGTTTTTGTGTTACCTGGTTTGGATGCCACCACAGTCTTGACATATCTAGGCATGCACATGTGTTGGCAGACAGCTTCAAAGGCTCGCTGGCACTCACTGTCGTCCCAGCCAGCTATCACTGTGTGCAGGAATTTGCCAAAACACAGCAGAGCAACACACCTGGACTGATCTTTGCATATATCTGAGTTGTTGCTGCAGGCCATCTGTTGTTGACAAGAGTCAGGTATATACATTCAGCATGAATCAAAGGTAACAGTGACAGCTGAGAAAGTCATCTTCATTGCACCAGGTTTTATCCTATTTTGCTCAGTCTCATTATGGAGAACAGACAGCCACCTGCCAAGAGCATAGCACAGGTATGAACTCCGCAACTTCAGTGACAAACCCCAGGATCTCGGTAATAATTGCACTAATAAACTAAACGACACAGCGGAAAAACAAACCCATGCTTTCAGAGCGCAAGGCAAAATGGTCAAGCCACATGAATACTGACAATTTATTATATTACATGAATACTTACAACTGATTATGTGACAATGAATACTGCCAACTGATCATATTTCATGAATACTGACAACTGTTCATGAGACATAAATAATTGAAAAATGATATTGTAACAGGAATATTAACTGATTATGTGACAGTGAATACTAACAACTGAATGTTGAATGTTGAATTAGGAATCGACATCATAGCCCTCAGGACACTCCCATAAGCGCTCTGTCCCCATCTTCAGCAGCAAACGAAGATTTCCAATGACACCAGTAACTGTCTGATTGTATATCAGTCTCGCCTTTCCCTTGAGAGTTGAGCATCAGCCAGATCCCCTGGCAAGTCCCTGCAGCGCCATTCTCCTCAGACCGTAATGATCTATTTGCACTTCCGCACTGTTCAACTCCTTCCCAGAGGCCCCTCACAACATCTAGCATGTCGTACATCAGTTTACCCCCAAGTAGAGCAGAGCCGGCCAGTCTATCTGCCTGCTCATTTCTCAACACATCGGCATGACCTGGAGAGAATATCTAAAGGATTTTAACTCGTTGGAACCTCTAAAGTGATGCTTGCCACTTTGCATGAAGCATACCTGTCTCCACATTTCTCAATATGCTCTGTGAGTCAGTTACAATCACATGTGTGTACAGCTGATTCTCAAGCCAGCGGAAGGCAGCAGTGACTGCTTCTACCTCCATTCTCAAACTAGACGGTGTGAAATCATATTCTGCAGCGCCAGCTGGCCAGTCCCCGCACTCACGACCCAAAGTGATAAGAACCCTACACAAGTCTGAAACTTGCTCAGACACTGTGAGCCACTCCTTACCTAGCACAAATAAATCAAGCCTGCACACATGTCTGACTGTTTCTTCAGCTTGCGCTATCCAAGACCTTCCTCTTTTCAGTCTGTGACCCTTAGCTCTCCACCCAGGGCTTCATGCAGGAGGTGCTTCTTGTCTGCATCTACCCTGAGATATGACTTTGCTTGCAGAACTTTGAGCCTATCTGCAACAGTAGGCATTGCAAGCATATATCACAAACATACTACCGGCGTATCTCTTGTAACCAATTTACCCGCATGGCTTCATTCTGTATGCGTTCAAGTTTCATCAGCTGTCTCTTTGATATGGTAAGCATACCAAGTCCATAATCTATCACCAACAGGATCACATGCTGGAAAATTGTGAACAACATTCTTTGTTCCATGTCCACTGGTGACATAATCTTGAGAGCATTGAGTCTTGTTTGGCATTTCACCACAACTGCCTCTACATGATCCCTGAAGGACAGGCTTCTATCAAAAATGATACCCAGACCTCAGTTTGCTTTCTCTCTTGAATGTTACTGTTATTAATTGTAAGGCTTGCAACATCCGCTCTTACAATTCTATTGTCCAGATAGCACCACAAAACACCAGTCAGTCACTTTGTCTACAGTTGCCTGTAGCTCTTGGGCCAGCCTTTGCCTAATATTCCCCTGCCTGTATGCAAGAACATCATCAGCAAATGTCAATATTCTTCAACACACGATGCTTCAAGTTCTGCAGTACTGCTTGTATACACATTGAAGAGCACTGGTAAAACTGCAGAACCCTGGGGTAGTTACGGGCTAATATTACACAATTCTGAGGTCCATGTACCCAGGCGAAAAGCAACCATAAGTGAATGCAAGACAGCTAGCTGCTATCCAGTTTACAAGCAGGGGGAAAAAAACCTTCTCCATGAGTGCAGATAGCAAAATATCATATCTGATTCTATTGTAGGCATTTTCAAGATCAAGTGCTGCCACAACTGTCTCCTCTCTGTTCTGGAAGCCCTCATAAACATTAAAAGCAAATGTAGCTGCATTGGACCAGGTATCTTTCCGGTAACTACCCAAAGCTTTTAGCAGGAGCTCTTTCCTTTCCAAAAACATTTGTATTTTAACAGCAATAACCTTCTCAAGCATCTCGCCAAAAGTATTTTGTAGGGTGATAATCCTGAAGCCGCTGAGTCTGGAAGGATCTTTTGCCTATTTTTGGAAGTGGGGTTAGGTAGCTGTGCACCCAATTTCAGAGCATAAAGAGGGGTGTACGACAAGGATGTGTACTGTCACCTGATTTGTTTTCACTTATATACAGTGAATATATAATGAGATCTTTAATTGATATGCCAGTAATTGTGGTTGGTGGGCACAATATAAACAATTTATGTTATGCTGATGACACAGTCTTGATAGCAGCAAGTCAAAAAGAACTACAGGAAATGATAGACATTGTGGTGATAACAAGTGGAAGAATGGGCCTTAGTTTGAATAATGGAAAGACAGAAGTAATATTGGTATCAAAGAAAATAATTATTCCTAAATGTGTAATAAAAGTCAACGGTGTTATTTTGGCACAAGTACAGAAATTTAAGTGTCTAAGCACATAGATAACATCAGATGGAAGATGCATTACTGAAAAAAGAAACATAATAGGACAGGCAAAAATTGCATCTTATCCTGTAACAAAATTATGCCATTTAACCATGTTGCTATAAGTCTAACCACCTGTGAAATGAGATGTTTGAGAATGGCTGCGAATAAAACCAGAAGAGATAGTGTGAGAAACGATGTGATTACAAGAACTATTGGAACCATACCCATCGTTAAATTTATTTGAGAAGCAAAGAATGAAATGGTTTGGTCACCTAGTGAGAATGGAACCAACGATGCCAGCATCAAGAGCATACAACATGAAAATCGAAACACCAAGAGGCAGGGGAAGACCAAGAAGAAGATGGATTGAAGGAGTCACGGACAACTTGAGACTTCATAACATCACGGTATATGAAGCGACTGAGCGCGCCCTGGCTCGGTTGCCGATCATCTGAATCTGATAGACTGCGACGCCTAGCGGCACAAGCAGATTTTGACAAAAGAAAAAAGAAGAAGAAGCTATAAGTCCCTCTTTTTTTAAATGTTTGTTTAAAACATAATCACAACTCATCTGGTGTGGTGAAGGACAGGTAAAAGTTTTCAATACTGTCTATCTTGCCCGAATGTAACAGTCAAAGCATTTACAAAAATATTAATCATTTCATGTACATGACAGGAAGTGCTACCTTATGTATCACAATTTCCTGTTATATTAAATAGGAGTCAGAGCATTTAGATACATCTACATACTTCTTCTACTGTTTGGTTTTTTAATTCCTTGTAAATAGCTGATTATCTACATTTTACTCTTGGGACACTATGCTCAGCTAATTCTAAATGATCTTTTACACATCAAACTAAAGCTGACATCTTAGTTTTTGTGGATTGTGTCTATTCATTTACAATGAGAAGATCTAGGACCAGTCCCCCCAATGCACCACAGCTAAGTCAGAGAAGATAACATTCGTTTTACAGACACACAAATGTACCAACCCTGGTCAAAAACTCATTAACAATCTTGAGTCTGTCTTTGGTTGCATACAAGCAAGTTGATCGTTTCATTAATAATCCTATAAAGAATAAAAAAAGATTTAAAATAAAGTTAAAAATTAAAAATTAAAATTAAAAATTACATTGAAAAGAATCTTCTTCTTTACATTCACAAGCTGTTAACTCTAGCAGAAAGGCTCTGGCTGCTCATCCACGTCCAGACTTTGGCCTTGTTCCAGGATTTGAGTTTTGTGTGCACATCTGTTTTACAAATGTAGTTTAATGTGTGCAGACTCTTGGTTCCTTGTCTGTCAGGCACATGCACTCTGACTGTGAAGGAAACACCGATCTTATCTACGTTGACAAGACCCCAGGTGGGAACCTGTTTCTAGGATGACCATGAAGAGGTGCAGATAGGTCTGGCCCAGTTGGGCCCTGGTGTAGTGCACCATGAAAGACTTCATCTGTGTCTGCATGTCTTGTTGTTACAGCTGTGATATTTGTGCACCTCGGGTGGTTCAGCACCTCTACATCCCAAACTGCAAAGAATTACAATTGATATATGAGGCCACATTATAAACAGATGCAATAAGCAATATACAGTCAATACCTGTCATTTACAAATACATACATCCACAAAAGCAAAGTTACTCATCCTATGGCATAAGAAAATGAGAATTTTCCAGAGACCTTATTCACAAAACTCCTATCACCTGAAAAAATTCAGATTAGGAGCATATCATGGATTTTCTGTCCATCATATTCGGATGTGCAAGGCAATGAGCAGGCTGAAAGATTAGTTGTTGCTGTTCCTCTGGGCGGTTAACTACTTATAATTAAGCTGATGTGGGGAAGACTTTAGGATCAAATGGAAGTACAACAGAACAGACAGCGAGTTCATACACTGAAAGACTAGTTCAACAAAGGATTAGTTGCATAGCTGCCAATTTTCTTTGGAAGGGAAGAAAACATCTAGAAACCAAAGAATATTTAGAAATATCTAGACTGCAAAGATACAACATAATAATAAAATCCAAATGAAAAAAGTAATAAATACATCGAATGAATGAATAAATAACATCACTTCACTTGGGACATTCCCACATGTTCTCCGTCTCTCTCTCTTCGGAGCCAATGAAGATACTACATGCTAATCGCCCCAGTTCCCACCTCATTAAAGTACAATTTATATTTGTTAACTGACATTTTGAATCAGCCACACTATTATCAGCACCCCCTAAAATTTTCACAATGTTAAAATATGTCCTGTACTTTCTGAAGTATGTTGTTCTCAGAAAAGAGTGAAATCTTTCAATACTTCTAAATATTCGGAAAGTCTCTGCTTTAATTCCTTGAATAACGAGATAAGACAATCTTGACAATGCATTCTTAAGTTGTTCTATGTATTTCTTCTGTCAACAGTCCTTGAATTATATCATCATTTTATAAACTGATTTGGTGGTATCCAAGGTATGGCTTATGATGCAAACATCCCCCAGTAGTGAGTCACTCATCTTTGCAGTTCTGACAACAGACGTCAGTGGTGTAATATCTCTAAATGGCATTGCAGTTTTATGCTTTTTTAGTCTCTGCATGATTCTTTAAGTCTTGCACTTTCGCCTTCACTTCAGATTTGCAGTATTTACAAAGAGGCTTGCTGGCATCCAGAAGAACTGCCATCACCTAGTTGTTAATTATGTTATCATGCAGCCACCCTTTCAGACATTTTTGTTCATGTTGCTTTACTTTTGGCATTTTTAAAGGTTTTTTAAAAAAATTTGAAGATGCATATGAAGGTAAGCAATTATTAAAAACATAAATCACATAAAAAAGAACCACGAAGTGGTTAATTTGCAATACAGTTGGTTTACAGTTCAAATAATTTTACTATGATTTAGGGGTGTTCATAATCAGTACTGAAGTACTACGAGTTTAAATAATAACAGTGACAGTAATTTACATGTGCCCAGACCAAAACAAAACCTGTAATAAATATTTTATACAGTAATTACTGAAACGATACTGAAAGAAAACTATAAAATACCAAACTATCAAATATCTAGCTCCAAATGAAAAACATCCAGAATTACATCAAACATCTAAACGTCAAAAATGACATCTAGACTCAGGCAGAAACATTTAGATCTAGATATTAAAGATATGGTGAAACATTTAGAATGGCAACCCTCATTAGTTAAGGTTCTGTAAGATATTCACCACTTGGGGGAAACAGGCAAACTTCTAATCAAGTTGCCACTGGTTCTATTAGCACTCCTAGTTGGCTATTCGTTACTCCGTTTGTTACTTGGTTACTATTTGTTGGTTATTAAAGAAGGAGATGGAGCATGTGTGGGAATGTCCCGAGTGCAGGGATATTAATTCTTAATTCATTCATTAATTTTTTTTTTTTTAACTGTTACAAACAATGAGCATGCTAGAAGAACAATGAGCAATCATACAGTTCTACATATACTAAAAGAGACAGCATATTTTGATGTGATCTGAGAAAAACTACAAGGGAAAATATGCAAGAGGATATAACAGACATATCATATACTGTGATGTATGGTAAAATATGTGACCAGATTGCTGACATCAAAAGAGCTCTTGTGTGTGTGTATACACAAGAGTGTTAGCCAGTGTATGTCAATCAACTAATAACTGTCAAACTCTAACACAAGTTACACTGAAACCCAGCTTCTTATACCATACATCTCACCAGTTAAACTATGTTACATTAGTGATTAGTAATTAGAAAGGCTTATCATTACAGCACTAGAGACAGATCCATAGGTGCACCGATCTCCTCCTCAAAAGCTCCACAAGTGTAAAACAACTGATGACACCTGTTCTGTGTTGGTTAAACGTCTTGTCCTCTTAGTGAAATGTTCATTTCTTGCAGCTCCAGGCTGCTCTCCCATGTCCATCAGTCTAGACAGGGATATGGAGCCATGTCCTTTGGCGTGCTCCTCTGTACGGTAAGTGCAGCGCATAGCATTGATAACATCACTTCCGTCGAGTACTGGGCCAGCCATGGCAACTGCAGTGTCAGCAAGATAGTCTGCACGCTCGTTCCCTTGCACACCCGCATGACCTAGCACAAAGATAAAGGTTAGGGCAGATATTCGTGAAGTGCTTAGTGTTTCAATTCATTCTTGCCTGATAAATCCAGCAATGGATTTTTTTAAGCAGTCTTCGAGTCACTAAGAATGCATATGTGTGTGAACATTTGAGTACCAAGCCATGTTAAAGCCCTTGTTACAGCCATAGTTTCTATTGTAAGGCTACTAGTTGTAACAGCAAAGGCGCCATTCATCTCCTTGATGGTTACATGCAGACTCCAATAAAATCTGTCATAAATACAGTTGCTGTAACAACAAGACATGCAGACAATGTAATCATTGCAGTTTAAGACTAACAAGACATGTAAGACAACCCAGTCTTACCCAGTTTATGGTATAAGTTCAGCATTGCAGCCTGCTGCTCCACAGACAACTGACCATGTATATCCTTGTAGGAGCAGCCATGTAGCCCAGCAAATCGTGTCACTCTGTAGCCCTCAATCAGATTCCTCATTGCTTTGGATGTTAGCGTCAGCAGGCTTAGATTTTCAACTGAAATAGAAATAGCTGTGTTACAAAACACATGAATATCGTATAGTAGAGTAGTGTGTCATTTAAACAGACACTGTCAAAACTTATGACAAATGAGATGAATGAAATTGATGACATTGCTTGTATAAAAGTGCAGTGAAACTGAGTCCGGCTCGTCAGTGGACGACTTTGTCGCCAATCGGGACAGTATTTGAATCTGTCTCTTTTGATCACATCAACAGTGCAGGTGTCCTTTGCAGGGTTCTTGGTGACATGCAATGCTGAGTCATTTGATATGACACACATAACCTATAACCTAAAGCTTCCCCTTCAGAGAAACTGTTTGAATGTGACATTTTTTTTTTTTTAAATTATCATTATTTTTTTTAGCAAAGCAATGGAAGGAGTCTGGCTGTGCATGCAGTACTAGTGATAGCACAGAAAGATTGCAAAATAAGAACACACAGCTGTACTTAAAAACAGCAAGGAGTATTAGCAATGTGGAACAGAATGAACCTCAACTTCAACGATGTCTTGCAGAGATGAGATAATGAGAGGGTATGAGGCCTTGAATATCACTGACTCCGATCTATGACCTATAAGAGAGCCACAGTACCACCATGACTTGCAGCCTTCCCACCCATCATGTCCCATCACATCATGTCCCATAACATCCAGGCAGAGATTTTATTTCACTGACCAGGGCTCTCAGGTGAGCCAGGCTACGATGGGCACCAGGAAATGTTCTGGGTCATAAATGGATACTAATTACATACTCTACCATGTGGTGACTCTCCAGTGAGATACTGACCACATTCTCAACCATGTGGTGCTGGCCAGTGAGATACTGACCACATACTCAACCATGTGGTGCTGGCCAGTAAGATACTGACCACATACTCTACCATGTGGTGACTGTCCAGTGAGATACTGACCACATACTCCAACAAGTGGTGACTGGTCAGGGATATACTGACCACATCCTCCACCATACCATGACTGGCCCAAAAAAATACTAAACTATCATAATATATCCAATACTCCTCGTGTCATGACAATGGGTTTTACTGACATACTATATCCTTGATAGTTCCAGTCTGGACTATACTGAGGTTATACTGGCATACTTTATCCTTGATAGTTCCAGTCAGGACTACACTGAAGTTGTACTGGCATACTATATCCTTGATAGTTCCAGTCTGGACTATACTGAGGTTATACTGGCATACTTTATCCTTGATAGTTCCAGTCAGGACAACACTGAAGTTGTACTGGCATACTATATCCTTGATAGTTCCAGCCTGAACTATACTGAGGTTGTACTTGCATACTATATCCTTGATAGTTCCAGCCTGGGCTATACTAAGGTTGTGACTGCATGCTTTATCCTTGATAGTTTTAACCTGAACTATAGTGAGGTTGTACTTGCATACTATATCCTTGATAGTTCCAGCCTGGGCTAAACTGAGGTTGTACTGGCATCCTATATCCTTGATAGTTCCAGCCTGAACAATACTGAGGTTGTGTTGGCATACTATATCCTTGATAGTTCCAGTCTGGATTATACTGAGGTTGTGTTGGCATACTATATCCTTGATATTTCCAGCCTGGATTTCACTGAGGTAGTGACTGCATACTATATCCTTGATAGTTCCAGCTCGAACAATACTAAGGTTGTACTTGCATACTATATCCTTGATAGTTCCAGCCTGAACTATACTGAGATTGTACTGGCATACTATATCCTTGATAGTTCCAGCCTGAACTATACTGAGGTAGTACTGACATACTATATCCTTGATAGTTCCAGCCTGAATGATCCTGAGGTTGTGTTGGCATACCATATCCTTGATAGTTCCAGCCTGAACTATATTGAGGTAGTACTGGCATACTATATCCTTGATAGTTCCAGCCTGAATTATCCTGAGGTTGTGTTTGCATACCATATCCTTGATAGTTCCAGCCTGGATTTCACTGAGGTAGTGACTGCATACTATATCCTTGATAGTTCCAGCTCGAACAATACTGAGGTTGTACTTGCATCCTATATCCTTGATAGTTCCAGCCTGAACTATACTGAGGTAGTACTGGCATACTATATCCTTGATAGTTCCAGCCTGAATGATCCTGAGGTTGTGTTGGCATACCATATCCTTGATAGTTCCAGCCTGAACTATACTGAGGTAGTACTGGCATACTATATCCTTGATAGTTCCAGCCTGAATGATCCTGAGGTTGTGTTGGTATACTATATCCTTGATAGTTCCAGCCTGAACTAGAGCTGTGAGGATCACAGAGAAATATTTCTGCTACTGCTGGAAATGGAACACAATCCACTGTTTTGGCAGGTGACATATAAACTGCTAACCAACATGGCTTTGTACATATTTCCATGATAAACCATTATAACAAAATAGACTTGATGAGGTGACACAAGTTTCTGATCAATAACAGACTCTTTAAGTCATTACATATTTAAAACAAATAAAATACTAATGGAGATCTATAAATGAAAATGATGTAAGGTGGTATGCCATAAAAAAAGCTTGATTAAATATAAAAATGGCAAATACAGGTACATATTTTGTGTCTGTACTTTAATGATTTGTAGATTTGTAACGTTAACAGGAAATAACTAGCACTGTTAATGACTAATAATGGTAAAACAATTCAACCAAACACTGACTGCAAATGAGTGTCCATACTGGCTCACAAAATAACTTCATATACTTGTCAAAATGTACCCATATATATTAAAATTCAAGTTTACATACTTGTCACACACACAAAAAACTTCCCATTCTCATCAGAATATAACTTCACCTACTAGTCAACATATAACTTTACATATCTGTCCAATTGTAACATCATATTCTTGCACGAACCAAAAAAAAAAAAAATTTATATATACATATATATAAATTGCTCATACTTGTCAAATATAACTTCACACACTTGCTCAAAAATATAACTTTACATACTTGCCAAAAAATACAATTTACTTTTTTTACCACCCCAAAAAAATGTAACTTCGCATACCTGTCAAAACAAAACTTTACATGTGTGTCAAAAAATAATTTCACATACTTGTCAAAATATAACCTCAGATACTTGTCACAATATAACTTCACATACTTGTCACAATATAACTTCACATACTTGTCAAAATATAACTTCACATAAGTAAAAAAAATATAACCTCATATACTTGTCACAATATAACTTCACATACTTGTCAAAAACTGGAAGATGTTAAATCTGAGCTCAACAGGTAGCAAGTCAAAATATCCCAGAGGTAAAGTGGCCAGTGTGTCCAGTTTTGTGATGCTGCCCAGCAGATTTTTGTCCTTGCAACAAAGTCTGTCTGACCTTCGAGGCTTCTTGATGACCAAATGATTCTTGATATCCATGGTGACTTGGTGCTAAAAAAAAAAAAATAGTATAATAGCAAAATGAAATGGAGGTGGTAGCATGAAATCTGTCAGTTCCATAAAGAGAACTGGGTATGTTCCAGGCAAACAGGAAGTGAGACAATGAATCAGGTTCTGTATGCTATACAATAATCACAACAGGTGCTGTATGCTATATAATTATCACAACAGGTGCTGTATGCTATACAATTATCACAACAGGTGCTGTATGCTATACAATTATCACAACAGGTGCTGTATGCTATACAATTATCACAACAGGTGCTGTATGCTATACAATTATCCCGCTATACAGTTGAGACAAAAGGTGCTGTATGCTATACAGTTGAGACAATAGGTGATGTATGCTATACGGTTAGGACAATAGGTGACATGCTATACAGTTGAGACAATAGGTGATGTATGCTATGCAGTTGAGACAATAGGTGCTGTATGCTATACAGTTGAGACAACAGGTGACATATGCTATATAGTCAAGACAATAGGTGGTATATGTTGTACAGCTGAGATAACAGGTGATGTATGTTACACAGTTGAGACAATAGGTGCTGTATGCTATAAAGCTGAGACAATAGGTGATGTATGTTATACAGTTGAGACAATAGGTGCTGTATGCTATAAAGCTGAGATAACAGGTGATTATATTATACAGTTGAGACAACAGGTGCTGTATGCTATAAAGCTGAGACAACAGGTTATGTATGCTATACAGTTGAGACAACAGGTGATGTATGCTACACAATTATTATAACTAGTACTGTATGCTATACATTTATCACAACAGGTTATGTATGCTATACAATTATCACAACATGTGATTATGCTACACAGATGAGGCAATAGGTGCTGTGTGTTATATAATTATCACAACAGTTGATGAATGCTATAAAGATGAGACAACAGGTGCTGCATGCTAAACAGGTGAGACAGCAGGTGCTGTATATTATATAGTTACAACAGGTTATGTTATGTTATCACAATCAAAGTCACTGCACATTGGGCATTCTCATGCTTGCTCAGTCTTCCAATGCAGCAGCCACCCTAAGGTACTTCTACTAAGTGTTCCCTTGAGAAGTTGATTATAATGTCTCCTATCTTGGCCTCGAGGGCAGTATAGATGTGCTTTACCATGCTTTACTCCTATATCATGCAATTGTGTTAGTGTCAGAGAATTGTAATTATCCACTAACCCAGTCCGTACAGTTGATGATAACTGCTCTCTCTCCATGCTTCTTCCCACATGCGTTGGTGTATTGCCTGCCAGTTAGTTGGTCTGCTCGCTCATTACCCTTTACGCAAGCAAGACCAGGTGTGTAGATGAACATCCAGAACTTTCTGCCAGAGTTTACAGCTGGTGAACGTGAAGAAGAAGAGAAATGCTTTCTACACATTCAGAGCCATTACCACCTGTTTCTATCTTCTGAAGTATGTTTATGGAATCTGATACAATTACTGCCTGTGTGGCTGTTTGCTCTGCTGCCCATGTAGTGCTCTAGAAGCAGCAGTCATCTCCATGGTCATGTTTGATGTGGTTGCCTGGTAAGCGTCGCTGTCCTCTTGTATTATTTACCTCATTCGTTGCACTGTGTA